TACCCTTTGCATTCACACTCTCCCCAGCAGCAACAGAGCTTGGTGTTACAGCAAACAGCATCAAGGTACTGAAGGCTCTTCTCTATCCTAGTCACCCCAAACAGATGGAAACATGCGACAAGGAGAGGATCAATCCTAGAGCATTTCAGAATAGGGCAGGAAAATCCAAATCCCCTAGAATGCCTTTTTCTCCACCACCCTATTTTTTGCAAGGGTGACAAGTCTGGGCAGCACTCAGGACTCCACTTTTGGCAATTCCAATTCTATTTTTATCTTTTTATTGTTCACTGCGCTGCACTATATTTAGATGTGGACTTGTATACAAATGCAAATAAATAAATAAATATGTGGGGGTTGTTTATGAGCAGATTTGGGTAGACACATGCAAGTCATGGTCTGCTTTGCAGCTGGGCTGTGAGAACTTATTTCTAAGAAGCAAGAAGTTGCAAGCAAGAAGTGTTCGCTTGCTGGACACTCAGTGGCTTGCTGTCTAGTTAATTTGTTAATGATTGCAATATTAGAATCTTACTCAAAGGTGCCTGACTAGTCATAGATAGTCATTTTCTTTGGAATATTACTTGTTGAAAACTTTCAACAAATGGAATATTCTTTCCCTCTGTATGTGGGGGGTGAATTATATATCCTTCTGAGTATTATTTTTGTTTCCTGAGCCCTCTTCTTTTGGAACAAAGATGCTGAATTGAGTTAAAATTCTAAGAAGTTATTGATGTGCAAAAATGTAATTAAGCACTGGATGACATTTTCAAATTTTATGTGTTTGGCTGGATGATAAGGGCTGTCAAGCAAATCATTTTAACAGGTTTAGCTCTGTTATTACAGAAAAGCACTGAGACAGCATGTTTTCTTACCGGGTACTTGCCATGAATAATAAAATTCTGTCTTCTTCTCTTATTATCTGTTTTCCTTTCCTGTAGGGGAATAAGACAGGATTTTAAGCTTTGGATCATCTAATTAATTTGCATTTCTGCTATATTATCTTTTTTTTCTGTTTTGTATTGAAATTTATCAAAAGAAAAGACTCATTATTATTATGGCACTGTTTTTGCAGTACTAGATTTCATTCTGTAATTGATCATTTTCAGTCTTTCAGTCTAGATTGTAAAGGATAAAGAATTGGATATTCTGACACTGGAAATACAATACAATAATCTTCTCTGCTTGCTATTTAAATAGTAACCAGGACTGGCTTTACTGAGAAACCCAGCAATCTGTTTAACTTTCTCAGATTGTACCATATCAATATATTACAAAGAAGCATATAACAGTACAGGAAATAAACAGGAAATTAATGACAACTGCCAATCAGTTCCAGTAGTCTAAACTTGAAAGAAACTGCCATTACCAGTGATTGGTTTACACAGTGAATACCCTGTCCTTTTGTAAACTCCTAGCTGTGGACTTTCCTGACTAAATATGCATACTTGGAATGGACAAATCTCAGGGATTTCTTTTTCCTAAGAAGTGTGCTAGCGTGAAGACGGCATGCCCCTATATACATGCATTTCTGGGTTTGCATCATAATCATAGGACTTAAAGGAGACAAATACATGCAAGCAGCACATTGATGCCCACACCAGTGTGAGGCTAGATTTAACTTGGAACTTGACACTGCAATGAAATTATGGAAATAAGGGTTATGAAAGATACCTTTACATCCTTTGCTTTGATGAAATGGGCATCAACATTTTAATTCAAAAAGTGAATTAAAATGTACAGGGGATAAAACAGAGAGATGTTTCAAAATGAACTATTTTAACAGTGCTAAAATAAGATGAGAAACACACCTTGCTTGCCCAGTCGAAGGCTATGAATGTGCTGGGCTTCACCAGGTAGTCATCTGCCTCCCTTCCCCAAGGCAAAAACAGTAACAAGATTAAGGGAAACAACCTTAATCTAACCTTACCTTGTGGAAGTGGGACGGGGTAGTTGTTGGCAGGCATCTTTGAGAAATACTGCAAGACTTTGGTACATCACCTGTCAGGCCAGAAATGGCATAAGAAGTGTCATTTCCAGACAGGGAATCATGGAGTGATTATTGCCTAGCAAAAAGAACACATCTGTTTGTGCTGTTTATTTGTCACTGGATCACCGCCCCCATTTTGCCAATGATTATCATACCCTCTTCTTCAAGGTCAGGTGCTGGCTATGCTCACGGCAACTTAAGCAGAGGTAAATCCCTGCCTTGTATACATTCCAGCCAATTTTCCTTTGCAAAGTGGGTGGGTGGGGGGCTCATCTCCAGGTCCACAGTGGAGATTGTTCTGGGACACATACAAAATGTGTCTTTCCTGCCATCTCTTGCCTTCCTCTTCTGCAGTCGCACCATCCCTTGAATAGGGTGGGGGTGGACAATGCCAGGCACAGGAGGCCAGCTGGGCAGGCAGATGGCAAAGCTTAAAGATCCTGGTTTAACCAGTCAGACACCAGTTGTCAAACTCTGGCTGAGAGGATGCAGTTTGTGTCTCTTCTCCCCCCACAAAAATAAATATCATTTATGTTTTATGCAGATCTGCTAATGAGACAAGGAAGAAAACGTGTGTGGTGTGTGTGTGTGTGTGTGTGTGTGTGTGTGAGAGAGAGAGAGAGAGAGAGAGAGAGAGAGAGAGAGAGAGAGAGAGAGTGTAAATAATATATAATCCATAGAACATTATTCCTTGGAAAGAGCTATTTATTTATTTATTTATTTATTTATTTATTTATTTAAAACATTTCTATGCCGCCCCATTCGCCGAAGCCTCGGGGCAGCTCACAACATATATTAAAATATAATACATTAAAAATATAAAACAAATTAACAATATAAAATAAGTCGCCCTGGCCAGATAAAATAAGCAAATAATATTAACAATTAAAATGACATTTAAATAAAAAGGTCTTCGCCTGGCGCCGAAAAACAAATAACGACAGCGCCCGGCGGACCTCTCTGGGGAGCGCATTCCATAGATTGGGCGCCACCGCAGAGAAAGCCCTCCTCCGAGTACCTACCCTCCTAATTTCTTTCACGGAAGGTTCCCGGAGAAGGGCCTCTCCCGCTGATCTCAAGGGGCGGGCGGGCGTATATGGATGTAAGCGCTCCTTCAGGTAACCAGGACCCAAGCCGTTTAGGGCTTTATAGGTCATCACCAACACCTTGAATTGGGCCCAGACTTCAATGGGAAGCCAGTGAAGCTGACGGAGGACTGGAGTCATGTGAACATAACATATAACATATAATTAATATATATTTATATATATTATCATTTGAAATAAGGTGGTCAAATGCTTAGAAGTAGCTTAATTCCTCCACTGGCCTCTGTTAAGTAAATAAAAGTAATACAATATCTAAAAGAATTGCAACTACTGATAGTTTCATGGGCTGAAATACCTGACTTTAAGGCCTTCTTCTCAAAAAAAGCCTATTTGGAAAACATGTGTCTGGGGTATAACACTTCAGATGTAGCTCAGAGGTGAGGAAATGTGTGGCCCTCCAGATGCTATTGGATAACAGCTACCAGAAAGCATAGGGCTGATGGGAGTTGCAGCCCAACTACAGAGCTCAGCACTGCAACATATGCTTTGCAGGTAAAGGGTCTCAGGTTAAACTGAACTTAGATTTTATTGTAAGCTGCTCAGAGAGCCCTGTGGGCAGCATCAAATGTGAGGATGATGATGACGACAACAATGATGGCAACACAAAAAGCCACCATGCTTGATAAGCCGTTGCCAATATGTGAAGACATTCCTGACTTAAATGGGCAAATCACCTTGACTTAAGACAGAGTCTTAAGGCAAATCACCTTAAGACAAAGTCGTATCTATCCATAAATGGTCCTCTGTGTAAAATAATAAGAAGAAATAATTCCCTACAGATACCAACTGTATGCTGCACTTCGGCAACCTTCTCCCTGCCAGGCTGAATGTCTTTGTGCAGATCAGCAGGGACAGGAGAGGGTTCTGCTCCACAGCCCTTGGAGGATGTTGTGAGCTGTCACCTTCAGTCTGAAGGAGCACAGTCAAAAAATGAAGAAAAGAAATTTCTGATGTTATGAAAGGCACACTTAACCATCCTTTTGTAGTACTGCAAATATGAAGTCTGCAGATAGGGTGACCAACTTTTTAACCTGCATCTGTCCTTGTTGAGCATACATAAGGTCCTTACAGATACAGTTCTTTGCTTTTTGCACATGAAATGAAACTCTGAACTACTCTTTCGCTGATATTGGTAACAGATAATAAGCAAAAAAGGATGTTTCATTGTCATATATCCACTTTAACCAGGGTGGTTTTATATTTGCATGGCCCAGGCAAGGATGGATAAGTACATTTCATGCCATAAGGGTAAAGCATATGGGGGAAAACATCAAAAGAAGTATTAAGCTTCAGGTGTTAGAACTGGGGCAACCAGAGTTCATGTCCTCTCTCGGGCACGGCAATAACTGAGTGACTATGTCCATCCAGCCGAACCCACCTCACAGGGTTGTTGTGAGTTAAAATGGGAAAATGCCTGAACATGTTCCCCTGAGCTACTTGGAGGCAGCACTATAAATAAATAGTCAACAATAAAAGTATCGTAAAAGCGGTGTTCTTCTGTTAATTCTCTTGATGAGCTTTCTTCAGCTTGCCAGATTTTAAACGTTATTTTATATATACACAGATGGTAGGCAGTTCTGTAGCTAGTTATGTAGCTGCTGAGAAGTGAAATGTGCCCTGTCACTGCCTGGTGGAGATAGCAGTTAATTTTAATGCTGCTGCTGCTACCCGAGCTTGTTCATGTGTCCCTCTGGACTGATAGGCATTGGGGATTCCTTTGGCCTTAAATGGCTCTATATCCTCTTCATGGAGTGTAATGCTTATTTCATGCAAAAGGGATAAAGGAGATGAAAACACTGGAAAATAAATGCACAGCTTTCAATATTATCAGTAGCAAAATGTATGCTAATTTTTTTCTTTTCTTTCCTTTCTCTCCTCCTTTTCTTTCTTTTATTTTTTCTTTTGCTCAGGTTTATCCATCATGCTGGAGTTAACTGGAAGGAGTCACTGTGCCAATGTAGCAGAGTAAATGTTGGGCATCCTGCCATCTCTACTTGGATAGTGACGTCAGCTTTAAAAGAGAAGTGGAGCCAAGGGATGGGCTTTGGGCACAAGAACTCACTCACTTTTTGCATCACTGGGATCTGTCTATGGTCAGGCTGCTGAGGCACAAACCATACTAATCTGGGGACTTTTTTCCCTGCCTGAGCAAAGTTATCTTTTGCCCCTTCTTCCATTTTCCTTGGTAACTTGCTCCTTCCCCCTTTCCCATCCCATAGCTTTTCTTTTCCCATTTTTTATTTGTTCCTCACAAATTTGATTTCCTGCTGGGGGTGGAAGACTAGAGGCTTGCTAATGTTGATGTAAATCATGTCAAGGCCAATGGGACTCTTATGGCTGCCTTTGATCTTTACTCCTGTTTGTGTCATGCTGAATTCTAATTTCCTCCTCTGGATAACAGCCCTAGCAATCCGGTTTACACTTATTGATGGGCAAGCACAATACCCAGTTGTAACCACGAATTATGGCAAAATCCGTGGCGTAAGAACACCTTTGCCCAATGAAATCCTTGGCCCTGTGGAGCAATATTTGGGAGTCCCTTATGCTTCTCCTCCGACCGGGGAGAGACGCTTCCAGCCTCCAGAGCCCCCTTCCTCCTGGACCGGCGTACGCAATGCCACACAATTTGCTGCTGTTTGCCCTCAGTATCTGGATGAGAGATCACTGCTCAACGATATGCTCCCCGTTTGGTTTACTGCCAACTTGGATACTGTGATGACGTATGTGCAAGACCAAAATGAAGACTGCCTCTATTTGAATATCTATGTGCCGACTGAAGATGGTAAGTACCTTATGTGGACAAAAGCTGGTCAGTTAGCCTTGTCTGCCATCAACTAGTGGGGATGGGTATTGTACTACTGACAATACATTTGCCTGCTTCCCTTGACTTCTGATGGATGCAAAGCTTATAGAAAACAGTGTTGTCTTTATATTAATGCTATTAATGACATTTCATGAATGAGGCCATCTACTATGTTTATTTGCTATCAGCATGCACTTTTACTTTTAGGTAGTTGCCATAATTAATGCCCACCATAATGGTTGTTCATAGAGGAAAAGTCAATAAAGAAAAAACAAAGGGTCTTCAAACGATCTGGAGAAAAAAATAATCTCATGTTAATGCTTTAAATATTAATGCATTATCTGAATCCTCAGAATTGAAAATGAATATAGCTTATTTTATTTCTTAGATGACTTTTGAAACAACATTGCTTTTAGAAAGCTGTATGTTAAAATGCTTTAAAACTGCTTATGTTTGCAGCATAAATGGTCACTATTCCAGTAATCTTATCAATTATTATCCTTCATCTTGGCAATTAAATATGGGAAAATAAGCCTTTATTGCATTGTAACCAAAAGTTGTTATCAATTGTTTCAGTAACAAACACCCTTCTACAATAATTTCTCTATTGATTTGCAAATATTTCTTTTAGGGACATACTTTCTCATTACCAATAATTTTTAAATAATACATTTCTGTAACACATTTCCCTGGTATTTTGATTTGTTTTTATCCAGGCAAGCTACCATTTTTTAATCTTAGAATACTGTCTTCTTAAACAAATAGCTTGGCAGTTTTACTTCACAGAATAAAGGGTGTTGCACCATGAGATGAAGGCAGACTATTTCTGTTAGTTTCTGATTAATAACTCTGCATTTTGTCCCCAGATGTATAACCTCCAGAAATGCAGGCATGGAAGACGGATAATCATAAGTGGTTTATTTTAAATGGATAAGCACTTGAATATGGTGTTTGAATATCTAGACTGTTGCAATTATCTTGCTTTGATTGGAGCTTGGATTTAAAGTTCTACCAAGTGTTTAGCATCATGATTGTTGCTAGCATAATAATGTATCACTTCAGACATGGAGATTCAGCAATACTTGGTACACTTACCTATACTACTTGATTGAATAATTATTACCATTCACAATGCAAAAGATGCTCACACATCATGCTTCATTCTCAAACAGGGAGGGGAGAGCCAAGGAACTCCACAGAGCTCCTGGTTAGCCTCCTCCATTCTTCCACCTCTTGCTGTTGGCTTCAAGCTGAGGCCCTCCCTCCATTTCTAGGAGCAGTCAGTGGCTCACTCTTCCACAGGACCTCTTGTTCAGTGACATTTCTCTTGTTCTGGTGGTAGCCTGTGCACTAGGGGCCTGTTTTTGCATGGCTCCTGGGAACTGTAAGGTGGGCTATGGGAGCTTTTCCTCATGGCTGTACAACTTGGCAATGTTGTAGCAGCCCACATTACATTATAGCAGAAGAGGAAGTGCAGCACAGACTGAGGAAGGGAACAACTGCAGCTTAAACTTTCTGAAAAGGAAAAGAAAGATACTTCAGCAAAAGTCTCGCTCCCTCCCCTTTCCCCCTTTCCCTTCTTTTGCACATATACAAAAACACAAGGTTTTCTCCATCACTGTATTATAAAAAATAAGTTCTGTTCTGCACCTCCAAGGCACTGTACTGTCTGAAATGATGGAAGACCATGAATTCTACATACATTTGAGCTCTTCAGAAGTTTAGATTAGAGATGTACTTTTTAGAACAATGCCCATTTTATTTATTTATTTTGGTGCATTGGTGTGGTCAGCTTCTACTTATGAGCCTAGAACACCACAAGTTCAGTGTCATTATAGAGCATGATTTAGACATACACCTACATATCAGTGACTTTTATCATAACAGTTCTGAAAACAGTTAACTTGTAGATAGATATACTAGGCCCAAAGAAAGAAAAAATTAAAGTGTGTGTTTGTGTGCATGTAAATGGTAGTGCTAAATGGAAGTGTACCCTAGTGCTTTAGACACAGTCAGTTGATAGCAGATTGATTTGGTTCATTCACAGTAACCTGAGATTTCTGGGTTCTATTTTCTAATGTGATGTGCTACAGACAAATTCAAGTAACGACGACTTGGGAATGTAACAAAAAGGTTTTGCTTCCACACCTACACCCAGGAAAAATGTTCCAAAGCTCGTTTAATTCACTGTTACTTAAGAGATGACCTAAATGAAATTGCCGTTGTTCATTCCCTGCTGGGAATGATCAGTCAAATTTTAGGAAGGTCACAGTTTTACAAGACAACAAGAGAGGGCTATTTAAGAACTTGAACATTTAGATGATTCATATAAAGCTCTGAAGCTTTTCCGGTTCACTGATTGCCAAGTTCTTACTGGAATTTCTTCCTGAACACTAGGCTCTAAGTTCTTTTCATTTTGCTAGGAGCATGCCAATGATGGATATCTAATGTACAGGCATTCAAGGTGTGAGAATTTGGCAGGCATATGTGGGATATAGCAGCTTATCTATACTAGAAGTTTATTTCTTCTTGTGATGTATACTTCCATGGCTTATAACATAGTTGAACCAAAGCTGCATATGCTTTATTATGAGAAGGTATCCTGTGCTTGATCCTAGTTAGATTAATGCAGGGGCAATACGCAGAGGTGGTCAGTCACTCTTGTCTCAGTGGACTTCTCATCTATTGTAACTTATGGTTTAAGCTTTATGGGAGCTATGCATAGTACTCAACCCCATTTCCGACATAGGGTCTGCACCATACAGAACCATGGATAGTTCCTTTAAAGCACAGAATAAGGGCCTCAATTGATGAAGAACTCCACTGACATAGGACTGATCCTCCAACCTCACCTGATAACCGGGCTCTACAGAACATAGTGTGTCTTCATATTTTTCTTTGGTCTTCCCAACCCCATGCCTGATATTTTAACCAATATCTGTAAATATCTACCTGTAATGAGTTTTCCAAGAACATTCACTTAATGGCTGGGCAAAAAGTATGCCACCTTGGTTAAATTTCAAGACCTAGGCTTGCTGCCTGTCCAGATGGAGAAAAGGGATACTGAGCAAGAAAGAAAGAAAGAAGGCAAGTCCAGCCTTTGCAGTCCAAACAGCAACCAAATATTATCATTCTGGTAGATCTCATCCAGATGTTGCCAGCAAACAAAGGCAAAAACTACTTCTGGACAACATCAAATTGAACAATAAAACATCAGTGTGGTTGCTTTTCTTTCAGCTGATTTCAGGCATTCATTTTTTTAAAAAAATTGTTTTAAGAAAGACATATTGCTGCATTTTGTGACAGAACAAAAGAGTCTTTCACAGATACTCTTTTGAACCAGGCAATAAAGGAGGAAGAGGAGGAAGATATTGCTGGAAAAAGACAAGAGCATTCTTTAGTTCCTTGGATGTGCATCTGTATATAGCCCCAAGCTTTTTGTGTTTGGCATCATAAATCAATCGGAAATCAACCGGGAATACACTTTCAGGCGCACATGGATAGCTATTGTCTTTTCTGGGGATGAAGATTAGTCATTCTGCCAGGAAGGACACTGTCACCTTTTAATCTGCACTTTGGACTTCCCTGCCAGAATTATTGGCCCTAGGAAACGATTCCAGAGTGGACAGTTCTCCCTTTCCTATTTCATCCCTCTTGCTTTGGAGACTTGCCTGAGCTGCCGCTTATAGTGTGATGCCCTCTATTTGTCACAGCTCAGTAGATACTTTCTCCCCCCCTCCCCTCTAGATGTAATCTGTTTATCATTTTCACCTCAACTGACTCTGGATTTAGTATGTCTCCAGGCTTCACACAAATTGCTTAGTCATTTGAGCCCTGGCCTGGGACATGAGAAGTATTATCTAATGGTGGTGTCAGCTTTACTTAACAATCTGTGTTGTATAAATTCTGTAATCTGAACAGTAAAACACTGAATGGAGAAAAATGAAGAGTAAGAATGATCCAGGAAGACCTGACAGGATACTTTCATAGGGAGGAAGGCATATCTTACTTGCCTTGGTACGAGGATACAGCACTGATCAACCAATGTATTTATTTTAATGTTAGCTTGTGGTTCCAACTACAGGAATGAGCCTCTACGAGCTTCAAGTTTTTGTGTTTCTTCGGCTCCTCCCTATCTTTGCAATATTTATTTATTTAGGATATTTCTAGGCCATCCATCACTTTTGTCTCTGGGTGGCAATAGGTAGGAGTTCAATAGCCTTTCTTTCTGGGTTTAAGTAAACCACAGCTTTCACCATGGGGAATTGTGGTTTATTTAATCCTAGTTAGTGAGCAAACCAGAAACTGAAACCTCAGTTTTTTCCTGGATTTTTCTAATAAGCCATATGCTATGCTTTCTGAAGGACAAGTGCCAGAAATTTGACCTGTCTCATACTCACATTAAGGTGTCTCTTCTTCTACCACATCCCCACCACCACCACCACCATCTTCATGATCATCATCATATTTTAACAGGTGCTATACAATCCAGTTTTTAGAAAGATAATTCTCTGCCTGAAGGATCACAATCTATAATAAACGAACACAATAGGAAATCAATCTGGATATTTAAAAAGAAAGAAAAGAAAATGTGAAACAAAAGGAAATATAATTTAGGGTTGCGTGTAGAATTTGACTGAACTGAAGCCTAATTGGACTCCTTTGGATTGTTTTTGGTGCTTCCAGAGTTCAAACTGGCTTCCCTTCAAAGCAAAGGAACTGAAACTTTATGCATCATGAGTCTTTGCTCTGGATCTGGGCTTATGAAAGACAGAAAGGGTGTCTTCAAAATTGTTGTTTTTTGGTAGCCTTTTTTTCTCTTTTTCATGCTGGTAAGTGAGATGAAGAAGAGGAATGCATGGCATATTTTACCATATGACACTGAAAAGGAAATGGTGATTTTGCTTTGTGGGAGGACAATAGGACCCTGAGGTCTATTTTTTGAATGCTATCAAATTTTACTAAGGAAAAAGAAGCCT